TTTTTTTTTTTTTAAATAACCCACCCTGTTATTTTATATGGTTCAATGTAACTTTATGGTTATTTTTAATATTCTAACTCTTAATGTTTATTATCAACGAGAGCTTTTATTTTATACCTGTCAATTAATCACCATGTTTGGCATATAGTTATTTGTTAAATAATTAGTTATCTGATATATAAAAATAATTAATTTTATAGATTTTATTCCAAACAAAGCACATTTGAACTTTTTCAAAGTTGATCTTTTTGATAAAAATAATAATAAAAAAAAACTATTTAAATCACTAGTATTTATAATTTTCTTATTTGTGGATTAATCTTAATATTCTTTCTAGAAAATACTGAATAAGTTTTGTTTCTAGAAATTGGAGGGTGAAAATCTGCAAAAACGTACCCAACGGGGTAGATACTACAACGAAAGGTTTGGAAATTATAAATTGACCCCTAAATTACAAAAAGATTTGAAAACTGTAAAAATTGGCCCCTGGATTTTATTAATTTTCCCCCTATAGTTCTCAATTTCATTATTTTTCCTTCATAAGATCAAAAGTTAAGCAAAAAAATAAAAAGAAATCTTTGGTATTTCATAATTCTGCAGAACTATTTCATGAACACACAACAAGAGTGACATCGAGTTATGATTTGTAGTTATTTTGAAGAATCAAACCAAATTTGCAAACCAACCGAAAAAAAAACGAGCACATAAGCAGAAGCCACTTATGACATTCCTGGTTTCGAGTCCTCAGTCGTGCCGTAGTCTACTTCCTGAACCAGCTGCCAGATAAGGACATACATATTAGAATACTGGCAAACGAATCATATGCATTTTTGTTATGGGGAAAAAAAAGAAAAGTTTTTATACTTACCAATGAGCCGACTCGTTCATATGCCTCCATTACTTGAGGATTCTTCTCATCTTCGTAACCTATTTGTAATATTCGGGGACCATTAATCGACCAGAAAGCTCTTCTTCCAGCTTCCTGAAAAATAAAATAAAATAAAATAAAAAAGAATCATCAAAAGTTGCAAATTTGTAATTCATCACATCATAAAGTGACAAACACAGTTCTTACTTAAACATCAGCTAATGTTTTCAAATAATACCCAAAAAAAAAGGGAAAAAAAAGATATGTCTTTTGGATTTAATATTTTCTTCCGCGAATTGCAGTTTTGAGGGGTTATTCGTAGTTATTAATGATGAACTGGAGGTTTCTGTAATTAAGATAAAATGAAAGGCAATTTTGTTAATTATGACGAGTGTGTGCATGAACATGATAAGCAACTAACCGCAATAGTCCAATTTAGTTGTTAGGTCAAACTACGACATAATCTTCGAACCTGTCAAACTAAACCTAGATTATGTGCAATTGCCAACTCTAGTTATAAGGTTAACCATTTTTTAAGATATACAAACAACCACCAATTTTCAGATTTAATCCCAGAAAATAGGTTTTGGCCCAACCCAACCGGAAAGCCACTTCACCTGTAGGACGAGCAAGTATATAGAATCAAGTGCTTGAATGCGAATTTCTGGATCGGTCACTGTTTCACGCTGGATTGAGAGGGCACTTGCTAGCTCTAGGGGCATTTTAGATGTGTCTTGTTCACTATAAATCTGTAAAAAGGTCCAAATTTAAACGCATAAGATTACAAAATATATGCACACAGCCCAGATCTCAAGTAGTGGTGTAAAGATTTTAAAAGCATAATTACGGTCTTACCGTATCTCCAGCAACTGGAAGCAGTAGTGCGGGCCAAAGAAATTCGGATATCAAAAGCAAATTTTGCAGCTGCCTCTCAGCTTCGAAACAGCAGTTTCGAATAGTTCCAGAGACCTTTAAGAAGAAGGCAAAGGTGATCGAATTAATAAAACAAAAAGGATCAAAATAAAGAAATGCAGCTAAGTATATATGGGAAAGGCTCGATTTTTTTTTTCTTTTTTTTTTTCTGGATGAGAAAAATAAATTAATTACCCCTTTCTTTCTCAATGGGCTAGGTGAATCGAATTGCCTAATAATTTGCTTCAGAAGTCCTCGTTTAGGGTCCAATAGAAGCTTTCTTCCTGCTTCCTTCTTCGAAATGTTTACAAGTACTGAAGCCACGTGTTCAAATGGGTCACCTGATAAACGCATGAAAATACAAAGATAATTAATTACTTCACAAGGACTTACTAATCCATTTTTTTCTTTTTTTTCTTATTTTTCTGCAAGGAGAAAGTGCATAACAAAATCAATTACATTTACATATACTAAACCCAAAACATAAAATAAGCAACATGGTTTGAAATTTCCTGCCAACACACGTAAAGTGCTCGATTACAAAAAAATTACATGAATTATAATGAAAAGTGAGAATTCACCTTTATTCTCGCTAGGCGATGTACAGAATGATCTCACCAACTTCATGATATATAGACCACACATCTTCTCATCTTCTTGCTGGCAGCCAGGATAAGATGTCCAGCATATTTATATTAATACCGGATAATCAATCTTCAATCACAAGTGCATATAACATTATTTTGTCTCTAAACTCAATTTCACTTTGAAAACTAATCCAAAAGTGAAACCTTTGGCATGAATCATGATCAAGTACAATCTTGTAACAAAATTACAAGCTAAAAAATTTTTCCATTAAGCTAGAGGAATAAATATAGGAGATGGTAAACCATAACCGGCACCTGAAGCAAAGATTCGATACCAGCATCTAACTGTGTGAGATTAACAAGGAGCATAACAAGCAATTGTGTGATTTCACAGCCTTGCTTGTACAGAATATCCATCACGTTTTTTATTATACCCATCTCGATCATCTTTCCAGCTAAATCTGGCGTTTGAGACAAATTGACAAGGGCTTGTGCAGCAGGTTCCGAAACATCCTGAACCCATGAAATCAAATTAGGTCCATCAATGAAATAATGGTAAAAAAAACGAATAACAAGCAATGGAAATTTATTCTGTGTTTGTTTCTTCACATAATAGAATACCAGAATCCAAGAAAACACAAGGCACAGAACAATATGCAGGGAATAAAACTATTTTACTTCAATCTTCAGAATGGGCAATTGAAAACGAAGCGATACATAAATTCAATTATGATAAAGAATAGAAGTCTGAGATGGACTCAATCGAATTGATATGCCTTGAAATGTCGAAAATCGAACAGTCTCTAACACACACAGACAAACACACACAGAGAAAGAGTAGAAGTGAGGGCTTTTAACATCTACCAAGCTTGGAACTAAAACTACAACAAAGAAACGAACTAAAGTCTATATAAAGAAGCTTAATTCTGTCCCTTGAGCAGATACTTACATTGGACTAAACAGTCTAAAGTTAACAAATGAACCGATTTTTTCAGCAAAAGGGCAAATGCAAAAATTAACCTTTTTTTCAGCAAGCAGTCGAGACAACGAAGGGACGGCAACACCGAAGTATCTGCCCAGAGACTGAAGCCCATCCTCAGACCCCGTATAGTCCCGAACAATATTTACAGCAACCTTTTTAATCTAAAACAGAACATCAGAAAAAAAAAAAAAAACATATACATCAAATCAGTAATTAAAAGAGCAAAAGGCGTATCCATACAATCCAAACCGCTATATACATTCGCCGCTATATACATTCATCGCGAAGTGAATTCGCTTCAAAGAACAAAAAATTACGAAAAAATGAACTAATTCGACGGGATTTAAGTTAAGAGAGAAGATATTACAGGTGGTGAGGGAGAAGAGAGGAAGCCCAGGAGTTCCTCCAGCTCCGTCGCCATTGTTGTCCCTTTCAGCTGCTCCTGAGGTAGACGACGCAAATTCGAAAGTGAGGATTGTTAGGGGAGAAATGGATTTTCTGAGGCTAACGGGCCACCCCCAAATGTTGAACGGCCCATTCTAAATCAATGTACTTATGGCCCGACCCAGCCCCAATTTGTGATAAAATTTGTAAACATTAAAAATAAAATAAATTTAAAGTTGTAAATATATGTGAAATAAACATAAAATGGTTCGAATAGATTTGGGCTATGTTTGGTAGACCAATAAGCTAGCTTATAGTTTATTTAATTAGCTTATAAGCTCTCTATATTTAAATAAGCTCCGTTTGGTAGGACGAGCTTATTTAAAAAGCTCGAGCTTATTTGATAAGCTTCTTTTGGTAGCTTTTCAAATAAGCTCGTTGAAATTTTTATTTCAGCTAGCTTATCAGCTAATTTACCAAACACTTTTATCATATAAGCTAGCTTTTCAGTTATAAGTCATAAGCTATAAGCTGTAAGCTCGAAAATTACTAAATAAGCTATAAGCTAGCTTATCAGCTATCAGCTAGCTTATCAGCTAGTTTTACCAAACATAACCTTGATATAAAAGAATAAAGTATTTATTGATAATTTACAGCTAAAACTAGCAAATTGAATGAATATTAACAATTGGCTAACCAAATTACGAATTGAGAAAATTTAGATTGTGGATTTTAGAACTATTATGATGACAAGTGCAATATGGATTGTTGTCATGTGAATTTTTTACTAAAAATAATATGTATGGTAATGCAATAAAGTTTTTTTCTTTATTAAATTTGGTGAGAGGTCTATTTTTTATTCAATTTTGTAAAAAAAAAAAAATGCAAACTTTTATTATAATATAAGGCAAGTGTTTTATTTCTGTATTTTTGCCGAATATTTATTTTGTCCAATATCTTTATTTTTTTCTCACTGATATTAATGTATGATAAATTACATTGATTATTTTGTGGTTTATAAGAAGACATCCATATTGAAAATATTACTAGTACACCACCCGCGCGTTGCGCGGCCTGATATTAAAATATGAGGTGAAAT